CCGCGGGCGGCCTTCAGCTGCCGCTCAGCCCGAGCGTACTTGGCAGCGGCCACCATTTTCATGGACTTGGTGATTTTCTGGATGTTCTTGATGGACTTCAGCCGGATGGTGACTAAACACAGTAGAACGGGCTCTTAGTTCAGTCATGACCAGTGGACATGCTGCAGGAAATTCTGCAATTTCACATCGTTGGTACAAAAAGAAAATGGGACTTCCCCACTTCAGGTGGTAAAAAAAGTATGTTTAAAAAAAAAACACTGGATTAGTTCTTCTTTTGGCATGCAATTAATTTGAACTAAAACAATTAACCGTTCGGTTGAATGTTGTGAGGGAAAGAGAAGTGAACTTACTGTCCTTCAAGGTGGCCATGTTCCTGATTTGCCCACTGTAAAAGCAAACACACACACACACACACACGGCTGCAATTTGTGCACAAGTGAAACGTCGCATTGCGCAGAAACACGCGTCCAAAAGTTTGATTTATTTGCAAAATGTTTTTACGGAAACGGGGACACTTGGCGCAAATGGGGGGCCCATTCAATGCCAAAGCTGGAGACAAACTAACACTTAGCTCAGCGATTTGTAGAAGCTTGTTTTAAAACCATTTGGTTACGTGCAGGGTGAAAGGGGTTGCGCGATTATTACTCTTATGATTCTCCTGTCAATGTCATCGGCTTATTTAGCATGAGCCACCTAGCCGCTGTCATTCATTAGCCGCGGCCTCCAAGTTAGCACGTCCTTTAGCGTCCTATAACTTTGATTACACACGACCCGTTTCGCGCCTAATGCGACCAGTTCTGCACAATACGCCCTCGGAGACAGAACGCAAGAAGGCCGAGTGAGAAAAGATCGGAAGAGTGCGACTCTCGGTTACCATTGTGGAGAGAACACCAAGGCGCTGGTCCTGGCCAACATGTTCACGGTAGTGAAGGTCAGACAGGCAGCACTGCGCATGCGCTCAATCAAGCGAATCGCAGGGATGGTGATGCCTTCATGGGCGCGCAAGAAAAATTGGATAACAGGGCTCCACCTTCATCTTTTTTCACCAAATACAGTACCGGCTTAAAAAAAACACCGAGCGTTCCAAGTACCACCATAATAACCAACAATAAGACAAAAAAAATCGTGTTCATCAAAAGTGATACGTTTTATTCTTAATTAAAACTTAATTAAAATAAAAAACTTCATTTCACCGGCACAGTTTCGCACGCCTGCGTCACAGTTGTGACATGTGTGCTTCTAATCCCGTCTCCTCAATGTCTGCGCGCGTTGCATGGTCTCAACTTGATGTATTTTATTTACATTGGAAATCACAACAAAGCTGCAACTATAAAAGGCATCATTCTGTCGCTTTATGAGCCCATTCTACTTCCATTCGGCATTTTCACAACGCAACTCTTTCAGGCCCGCAGGGCTGTGAGCCAGGATCAGTGGATGGTATCAATTGGAAATAGACATCTGCGCAGCGCGCATCAGTCGTGGACGTTTTCGACTCGATGGCTCCACACCGGCTTGCGTTTCTCGATGAAGGCTCGTATTCCCTCCTGTCCGTCTCTCAGAGCGAGGTTGTCCACCATGACCTTGGAGGCGCTGGCGTATGCCGCATCCCGACCTTGGGACATTTGTCTTGGGGAAAGAAAGACAGAGCAGACCTGTGGTCGGCCAAGAACACGCGCCAGCATCGTCTTTCGATCGTCATGGAGCGCACCTCTGGAAGGCGGCCTTGCCGAGGGCCACCACGGGTCGGCTGGCCCCGCACACACGCTGGGCAATGGCTAACGTCTCCGCTTCCAGTCGCTCTTCCGGAACCACCTTGCTGAGCAGTCCGTGCACCAGAGCCTCGTGAGCTGAGATTGGAGTGCCCGTGAAAAGCATCTCCATGGCAACCTGGCGGGCACGAGTCACAAGTGTTTGCAATCAAGTTTGAAGAAAGCTACTGCAGAGAAAAAAAAAAATCCAGCAAATCCACTCAAGCCCTTGAGATACGAGTGATGTGACTCGTGAGTTTTTCGAGATATGCGCCGTTTTTTTTTTCGGTTTGACACGCAAGTAAACATTTGAGATACAAGTGCCGTATTGTGGCAGTGAAGTCAACTCTCGACTCAAGTGTTCTCGATTCAACATAAAACACAGACAAATACACGTTTTGCTTTCAACACAGACAGACTAGTTTTTTCAAGCTGTCCTGTCTATGAACATCGTTGATGTCGGCGGTTGGCACCTTTCTGGGCACAGCCCGGCCGATGGCCACGGCCGGCGTGGAGCAGAAGAGCCCCACGTTGACACCCGGGGTGGCGAAGGTGGACTTGTCGGAGGCCAGCGCCACGTCACAGCTGGCCACCAGCTGGCAGCCCGCCGCCGTGGCCACGCCATTCACCATGGCGATGACGGGGACGGGTACGTCTTGTATCAGAGTCATCACCTGGCCACAGGACAAACATCCCAATAAATACAGGAAATAAAACAAGACACACAAGTTTAATGACGAACTAACCTGCGCACACGTGTGAAACACACGCGTGTGATACTCTCGACCTTGGGCTGACGTCAGCTCCTTCAAGTCGTGGCCAGAGGAAAACACGGGACCTTCAGCTTTCAGGCACAAATGAAATAGCGCCGTGATACATTCTGCCAGTAAATGTCTCGAGATGCCACAAGATGGCAGCAAAACGTTTTCCTCCATGAAGCTCTTCAACTCACTTCACCACAATTCTTTGGCACCAAGATTGATTTGATTTTTTATTTTACATATGCAGTGGGGGAAAAAAAAACAAAGAAATAAAGAAACTGAAACATGAATATCCATCCTGAAACCCTGCGTAATGTGGTGGGAAAGCATGTCTTTTGTCTAAATTAAAACTCCTCCGGTCATTGAAAACATAGTTACTTGGCACCACGATGCCAAAGGCTGAGCTAAAACGAGTAGCTTTTAATAAGCTCAAAACAGCAAGTGACAGCCCAAAAGAAACATCTTTGCAGGTGGCGAAGTGCCCATCGTTTTTACGGTCTACCTGATATGATGATAACTCGAAGATCCGGGCTGTCCACATCAGTGAGGATGTCCTCTCGGAGAGACTCCAGCATGGACAGAGACAGGGCGTTCCTCTTTCGGGGATTGTTCAGTATTATTCGTCTACAAACATTCAGAAATGCACAAGATAAATGTGTTGGCGTCAAGTTAGGACAAACAGAAAGCAGGAGAAGGAGATCCCCAAACGTCGGCGTGCTCTAACAAAGTGTCCAGAAAGCACTTCAAAACAACAAAATACTTCACAAGATGCGCCGATTTAATTTCATCTAGTAGCTGCACTGATCCATCATCAATCCATTACACATACTGTCCGCAGTGTAAATACTTTCAAATGTTTTGAAATATCGTTCTTTTTTTTCAACCGAGTTTCGTCACCTGATACCGTTGTCCTGCTTGCGCACGGTCAGTGGTTCCGGTTCCGTTGTGCCAGAGAAGAACCGGCGTCCGGGGAGCAAACGTGTGCGGCCGAAATAGTTTGCGTGGCTGCACAGTAGTCTACGAACAGCAGCAGCCATGTTTGACCCGTTCAAAACAAACACCAGACACTTCCGGGTGTCTGACGTCAGGACATAAACGTCAAACATGTGCGACCACTCCCGTCATGTTATGCAGCGTTTATGTAGCCATGTTTTTTAAAGTTTTTATCAATATAGTCATTCAATGCATTTATTGGTGTATTTTATGTGGATATCTATTCATCGATTAAAAAAAAAACCACAGGAGAGTGGAGAGTTGCATTCAGTAAATTAAAATATTTTTATTAATTAAAGAAACATTTTTAATGAAAACAGAGCCTCGTTGGTTTCTCAAGTGTTTTTGTGTGTAATTTCTTTTATTTTAAATCAGCAAAAATTTATAGCCAACCTAGATTGAATCTTTATTACACAAAGCCAAGGAATGTGAATTTGTGCCTCTTTGATTAATATATTCATGTTCATATACAGTGACAGTGGGGGGGCAACAATGGACTATTGCAAAAAGTGATGATTATGAAGGCGAAGGCAACATTTTCACCTGAAAAACATCCCCCCCCCCTGCATCATTGCTGAGTGAAGCGTAACCATGTCAACCAGGAAGCATCTCCTTCATCTCAGTTTTGCAGTCTTTACAGGTTGCAGGTGTTAGCTTTAGAAATGGTGGCAATAAAGTTACAAAGAGACAAAGAATAAGAAGTCCCAGGGTGGCAGAGGTCACGCCCAAGCACAGAAGGCAAAGCAGCAGGACGCAGGCCTCGTGTCAGGTGACGGCGTTCACGCTCTGACCGCCCTCAGCGGGCGTGAAGAACTGCACCTTCGGCGAGAGCATGGCCGAGTTGTTTCGCCGCAGGCTCCCGCTGCTACTGCCGCCGCTGCCGCCTTTGCGCATGGAGTTGTTGCGCCGCATGGAGTTTCTCTTCCTCAGGGAATTCTGGTGGGACAGCTCGCTCTTTTGCAGGGTCTGGATCAAGATGGACGGCTTCTCGTCCAGCTCGCGGGCGCTGCAGGGGGGCGTGGCCACCTGGCATTGTAGTGCACAGTCACAACTTGAGCATCATTTAAACAACATGCCTCAAGCAGGCCTCAATAAGCCTGAGACTCTCACAGCAGTCACGACAGTGGACAACAAATAAAAACACATGCACGCACACGCATGCAGACTATTCAATGCTACTACTACTAAATAGCGTGCAAATAGTTTGTCAAATTGGTCAGTCGGACGACAAATATGGCTGGCGGGTAACGAACCCGCACTGTGTTGCCGAACTTGGAGTAGTCGACGGAGTAGACGCCCTCCTCCTCGGTAACGATGGGAACGAAGCGGTGGCCCCACTGGATCTCCTCGGAGACGTAGGAGGTGCGGGCTTGCGTGGTGATGCCGGTGGTCTCCACCACGCCCTCCAGGATGACGATCACCTCCAGGTCGCTGCACTGGAGCTCCATGGCCGACAGCTCGTACAGCGGACTGCCGTCGCACACGCACGGGACCAAATGACACCTGAGCGCCGTCGCTGCGGGAGCAGGCGGGGCCACAACATGGCCAGTGGCGGCGACCGCGGACTCACCTGTTCCTGTCGATGACGTGGCAGATGATGAGCGGGGCGAGCAAGAAGAGGCTGTTGCTGGCCACGGCGCTCTCCGTCTGGACGTCGATCTGGTGGATGGGGATCACCTCGCCCTCGGGAGTGGTCGTCTTCCTCACCACCTGCGCCGCAGCATCGCACACTTTTTACACTTTGCAAACGCGCCGATGGCGTCCTCAAAGCAGAGGAAATGCGACTCTGGACTCCTCGCGAGATCCAGTCACAAGTTCATACACCTCGAGACCGCCAACAGGCCGCTGGTGGAACAGGAGGCAGGCAGCACGAGAACGGTGGCGGTTTGGTGTCAAGATGACCCGGTTTGTTGGAGGCGTCATTTTGAACGCCGTGATGTCAAAATGAAAGGGGACGGACAGTCGGCGGCCTCCAGCGACCGACCTGCAGGCGGACGGTGGCACCGATGATCATGCTCTTCCTCAGGTCGCCGATGCGGATCATGAAGCACAGGCGGTTGTTGCGCACGGCGATGACGGCGTGGCGGCTGAAGATGAGCGTCTCGGCGCGCCGGTTCGACTGCGCCGTCTTCATGAAGATGCAACCTACAGCAAAAGCGGGCGGGATCATGCTCTCGTCTGTGATGTCGTCATCGTCTCGCGTCAACACAAAACCAACACGGAGCTCAGTCCATGTTGTTGGGCAGGCGAAACGCGCGAGGTGACGGCGAAACGGTGTCTACCCAGCATGACGGCGTTGATGATGAGGCCCACGATGTTCTGCAGGATGAGCACCGTGATGGCGGCGGGACACTGCTCGGTGATCATGCGCCCGCCGAAACCGATGGTCACCTGCACCTCGATGGAGAACAGGAAGGCCGACGCGAACGACCTGAACAGGACGGAAACGTCTTTGCTGTCATGTACTCACAAAAAAAAAATAAATAAATTTTCGCGTGCAGAGCAGTTTTGCTGTGTTTTATTTTTATGGAAATATTTGGAGGATGGTGGCACGGTCGACTGGTTCGTTCGTCAGAGGCGCAGGGTTCGATGTGAGTATGGTCCCAGAGCCACCCGAACTCGTCTGAAAGGCCCCTTTTGAGGTAACTCACCATTTTCGTGATCTTTCAAGTCACACGCATGTGCGCTTGACGTTTTTATCGCTGACGTGCGTCAGCAGCCAATCAGGGGAGAGAGGGCCGACTGGGCGGGACGAAGCCATTTTCTCACTTTCTCAACTTTCCTGACTTGAACGTCACTTTCAACGAGGAGAAACCTCAGCAGAAAGCGTCGGCAAAGACGGCGCGGGTGAGCTCTTACTTGACGTGGGTGACGCAATGCACGGCGCCGAGACGCCCCGGGTCCAGGTCTCCGTGCGCGAAGGCCACCAGCCACCAGCTCATGGCGAAGAGGAGCCAGCTGCTGACGAAAGTGGTGGTGAAGATGACGAGCGTGAAGCGCCACTTGAGGTCCACCAGCGTGGTGAAGACGTCCTGCAGGAAGCGGCCCTGTTCGCGGATGTTCTTGTGCGCCAGGTTGCACGAGCCGTTCTTGGCGATGAAGCGCGCCTTGTTGACGCGGTCGCGGAAGACCGGCTTGCGGGGCATGCGGGACACCAGCCCCGGCAGCCCAAACTCCTCCGGGATGATGCTTTTTCGAGCCAGCATGGTTGCTTGGCTCGCTTCGCTTGGTTCCTGGCGCGCCTCTTACGCACGGAAACCACGTCGCCTGTGCGCCTCTTCTGCGCGCGCGCGCGATCAGTGTGCGCGCACATTTCGGGCTGGCTTGGGAGCCGCCTCTGCTCTGAGGAGGGCTGGGACGGCCCTCCGACCTCATCAGGCCGGACACGGCTCCGCGCCAATCCAAAGCCTCCCGGGCGCTAAAACGCCACCGAACGCGCCCCAAAGATGCGCACATAACCCTGACGTGTTCCATTCGAACTGGTGTCTTTTACCTGAAATGTTCCACGTGACAGGTTCAAGTCAGCGAGTTCTTTTTTGAGCCGCCAGGTGGTGCTATTGAGCAACATATAGCATATTCCAAATGAGACGTTCCAAAAAACGACCGGGCTGGGAGGGCACCAACTAAAATGTACATTTCAAGAAAAAAAGTCACAATGTGACATGAATGGGGATGTCTTTTTTGTTTTGTTTTATTAAAAAAAAGTTTCAGAACACGTATCCTGACAACAAAAAAAAAAGCACAATATAACATGACTGGAGATGTCTTTTTTTTTTTTTAATTAAAAAAAAGTTTCAGAACACGTATCCTGGCAACAAAAAAAAAACAATCAGCATTGCAAGATTATAAAAGGACTTTAATGCACATTCCTCAATTGCATCGTAACAAATGTTGAATTGTAACCAAAGAAAGACGTGATGCACGAGGTTAAAAAAAAAAAAGCAACAACAAAGAAAACACTTACGTCATCTTGTGAATTCACCAAGATGTCACACAAGATCCGACAAGTAAACAAAGCACGTCTTCTCCGTCGCCTTAACTTGAGTCCAATAAAAAAATGTGACATGGGGTGAATTGCCTCCAACAACGACGTGAAAATGGCCGAAATTTACACAAGAAACAGCCAGATGATTCTAAAATAGACGTACAGTCGTTGACATGGTCATTCAGAGACAGGATGAGCGTTCTATTGCTCGCATCGATTCATTGGCGCAGTTCCGGTTTGAAAGAAACAAAGGTGAGCAAAATTCAAACTCAAACGTTGGGGCGCTTGACCCGCGCCAATTGATGATAATCATTCCCATATGCGCCAGTGGCAAACGTGCCTTGTCGTCCATATCGGTGCTTCCCCGTGCGTCTACATGTCGGCCTTGACAAAGGAGGCGAACATGCCGTCCTCCTGCTCCAGAAGCGTCTCAGGCTTGTCGTACTCCAGGATGTTCCCACGCTTCATGACGATCACCAAGTCGGCCGTCAGGATGGTGTACACGCGGTGCTAAAGTGGGCGACAGGACACACGTTGAAAATTAATTACATTGTAAATGCTCCGTGTTCTGGATTAAAGAACGGAGCTGGCCGTTGCCCACCCCAGTTCTCTGTTTGGTTTACAAAATCTGTACTCCCAGGTACGAACCAGGTTGTCTCTGGCAGAACCTGGACCAGAACCAGCCCCAGACCTCCATCCCCTACCCGGCCGGTGGTGAGAAGCAGAAGAGAGACGTCAGGAAGAAACAGAAAGCGAGTAAAGGTGGGTTGGGGGGGCGAGTCCGAGTCGGCTGGGCTGGTCCGGTCTACTTGTGCGTCCGCACTAGCACACTGAAGAGGCTCTCGTCCTGTGCTAGCAGGTTGGGACCCGAGTCACATTCCACTAAAATCCCAGAGGAAAAGACCAGCACCTGCCCGGCGTCCAGGATAGAGGAGACGCGGTGCTGAGGTGAGGGGACAGAACAGGACAGAAGACGACAGGTAGTACAGGACAGAAGACAACAACACCACAAAGGAAAGGACAGGATAGGAAGGGACAGAACAAGACAAGGTGGGATGGGATAGGATGGAACAAGATAGGACAGGAAAGATGCAAACAAGACACAATAGGACAGGACAAGTAAAAGTAAGACAAAGAAAAGCATTTTAATGGTCATCATACAGGTGGGAAATCTTTGAAGTTCTTGAGTGGAAATGAGAAGACGTTGGGAAAAACAAACAAAGGAAAACCCGAAAACAAAGCGTAACAGAATGACTCACAGCAATCGTGACGACTGTCCGATCCGCAAATGCCGTCATCACAACTTTCTGTAAGATGTTCTCCTGAACACACACAAAAAAAATTCCCGTTTATGTTCCCTGCGTGCGCTTCATTTGACTGTTTGTTGTGGTCAACAATGTCTGAAAGAGCGTCGGCGCCTGGTGCTCTCCTTCTGGTGCCAAGGAACATTTTACGCTACCCACTCAACTTTTTATCTTTGCACAGGCATGCACGCACACACACACCGTTGCCATGTCGATGGAGGCAGTGGCCTCGTCCATAATGAGGATGCTGCTCTTCCGCACAAACGCCCGAGCTAAACAAAAGAGCTGCCGCTGACCCACACTGAAGTTCTCGCCGCCCTCCGTCACCACCGCATCTGCAACACAGGATAGCAGCCAATCAGAAAATGGACGAGGTGGGACTAAGTCACAGATACCTCAAAACCAAAACAAAACAAATGTGTGCGTGCGCGCACGTACCGAGTCCTCCCGGTAGCGCCTTGACCATGTTCTTCAACTGAGCAATCTCTAGCGCCTCCCACAGGCGCTCGTCATTGCACGTCCGCTCCGGATCCAGATTGAACCTGCGGGAGGTCGTTTTGTTTGGTTATGGTTGCCGCGAAAAATATTTGATTCCCACATTGATTGCGTCTCCACAAGCGGGAAGATCATTTCAAGTTTCATAACCAGTCCTTCAGAACGGGCGACAAACACATCTCACGGAGCTGTGTGAAAAAACTCGACCATTCACCCCACACACACACACACACACGCACACACAGTCCAAACAAACACAGCGAGGATGTGCGACAGAGGCAAAATGTCAAATGAGGTCTCTGACTAACTTCCTGCTGCGTTACATTGACGGCACAAAAATCCATGATACTTGTTCACACACATTGGAGCGGAGAGGTGTTCCACAAGGACCAATTCCAGAGCCTTTGTTGTTGTTAAAGGGCAAAGTGTGCTGTGTTTGAAATAAAACAACCTGGAAAATTTTGAACCATGTAGAAAAACTCTTCTTTTGTCGGAAAAAGATTTATTGGAAGTACGACAGCTCCCAAAGAAAGACTCCAACTTAAAGCAAACGGCCAGGCTGGAGCGTAAACAGGAAGTTGCCTCTTCAACCGGGAAACACGTCTGTGTGTACCTTATGGAGCCACTAAACAAGATGGGGTCCTGCAGGATGATGGACAGCCGAGAGCGGAGCGTCTGCAGGGGAAGTTTGCAGATGTCGATCCCGTCTATGACGATCTTTCCTGGAAGGGGGGGGGGAAAGACAATCAGGAGTCACTTGACATCACCCCACTTAGCGCCAGTGTCCACTCTTCCAGTAAATCCCCCTGGGGGGGAAAAAAAAGACAATCAGGAGTCACTTGACATCACCCCATTTAGCGCCAGTGTCCACTCTTCCAGTAAATCCCCCTCAAGAGTGAATCACTTGAGTGTGAGGCGACAATAAACACACACATTCCAATGTAAAAGTGGCAGCATGGTGCGACAAGTGGTCGGCGCATCTGCCATGCTGTTCGGAAGTTCCGGGTTCGAAGTTCAACTGGTTTTCCACGTGCGACAAGTGAGTGGCAAGGATTTTGTTCGTCTATACGTGCGCCGTTGTGGACTCATGACCAGAATTTCCGAACTTATCCAAACGAGCCTTTATGGACTGTCAACACACACTGACGTCATTTTCAGGGGAAAAGTCTCCTGCCTCCTCTCAGCCATGAAATGGAGATCAAATTGTTGCAGGAAAGAACACGAGGAATGCGTTCGATGGGCCAAGTGTACAATCTGCTCATACATGATGACCATTGTTAAGAGGATGACAATAACAAGCCATTCTAGGCCAGTGGTTGACATATGGAAAGAAATGCACTGTTTACTTCCCCCAGAAACCAAAATCATCTCCTATCGCTTCATTGTGTCAACAGTCTTCAAGCCTTCACGCCACTATTCCCAAAAAAGGGGAGCTTGGGAACGTTTTGTTTTTAGCAGACGTAAACACAAAAGGAGAAAAGAAAGAGAGACAGAGAGAGAGAGGAGATCCCATTCTCATCTCACCTTCAAAAATGTCCACCATGTTGAAGAAGGCCAAGGACAGCGAGGACTTGCCGCTTCCCGTGCGGCCGCAAATTCCCACCTGGCGGGGAGGTGACAGGGAGGAGAGACAGAGCTCGAACACTTGACAACAAGACGAGCGAGCGGCCGCGTGTCAACTCCCGTGGAACGGACGAAGGCGCTCGCGACTTTGCACTCCCGAAGCCCATTTCACTCAACGACATGAAATTTGGCAGTCTTGTCCATCACAAGTGCGTTAAGGCTTGCGGGTGTTTTCAAAGACAAACCCCATCCCCAAATTTGGACGGATGAGTGGCACCACACGGCAAGCGATGTTCATCATTCCACAAAGCCAGAGGGGCGAATTACCTTCTGGCCCGGTTGGATGTAGGCGTTGACGTGCTTGAGCACGGGTTTGAGCATGGGGTCATAGCGCACGCACAGGTCTTGGATCTTGATCTCTCCATCCTGAGGCCACGTCTCGGGCACCTGAGAAGCATCTGCAGGACGCGCGACAGGAGTAAAGCATGTGAGTGGCAGTCCGGCGCACATCGAGCCCCGGTTCAGTCGCGTTGACGTTACCCATGGAGCCTTCGTAGTTCTCCGACTCCGTGTTGAGGAAGCTGTTGACTTTTTTCACCGCCGCCATCTGCACCTCCAAGTCGGCCAGGTTCCTCACCACCCAATTCAAGTAGTTGGTGACCTGATCAAAACGCAAGCGGATCTTTTTGCTGTTAGCTTGGAGGACGTCCGAGCAAATAACGGCGAGGTAAACTGACCGTCAGGGCGTACGTGAGAGCCAGGCCCACCTGCCCTGCAGATGGCTGACCGCAATCCAAACCCCAAATGGACGCCCCGGCCGCAGCCAGCACAATGACGGCACCGAGGTAGTCCTGAACGGAAGGAACTAAACATCAGCAAGGCTGTCTACTAAGTGGATTCTCGAGTCATCGAGGTCACGGACGGTACAGAATCTCGAGTCAACGTCCATGACGGACCAAAGCTGCGGACAGAAGAGCTGAGCTTCTGTTTTAAATCTTGACTTTATTTTCCTGCTATCTCGTTTGTTGGTTCAGTACTTTGTTTTACCCGTCAGTATGCAAGTGAAATGAAGCGGCCCTCTGAAAACGTCTCGCCTGCTCACTACGCTGCGGGACAGCGCAGGTGAACCTCATGAAGTGGCGAGTCTCTCACCGTGCGCACCTCCAGCCAGCGGTTAGCGGCCGACAGGAACAGGTATGCCGTGTTGTTGGTGTCGGTCAGCTCCAGCATGCGCTGCTTGAAGCGAGCCTCGTGTCTGAAGCAAAAAGAAACCAAGTCCAATCAATAACATCATCATCATCATCACCGTTGACTGCGGTCATGCGGGGCTAACCGCCGCTTTCCAAACCAGAGTCTTCTGGATGGCAACCGGCAGATAACGCTGGCAGGAATTTTGTGCGGTGTGTGCGGGGAAGAGGTCCGTGTGGGCACGATGTGGAGGAACAGCGTAAGAGCTGCTGAATGTTAGCTCATAACGCTGATGGGAAAGGAAACTAAAAGAACTTTGTTTGGCTTCAATGAATCACTGTACCTAAAGGCTCTGATGGTGGTGAGACCTTCAGCCGTCTCGGAGAAGTGACATAGCAGAGGAAGTTGGGTGGAGTCATCCAGGTCCTGAAGGTCTCTAGTAGAAGAAGTGAAGGATCGGTCCATGTTAGTCGCACTCGTGTGGAGGCGTCTGAAGACATGAAAAGGCTTAAAGCAGCTTTGCACTCACTTGGAGGCCACACGGAAGTACTTCTGTATAAAGTAGAAGGCCACGGCCAGGGGCACCAGGGCGACGATGAAGTAGGGCGTGATGGTGGAAATGACGCCGATGGCCGACAAGCAAAGCAAGGTGGATCGCGTCAAAGACTCCAGGGTAGGAGGAATGTGCTGGAGGACAAGGAGCACGAACGTCAGGAAGGCTGGACATCCCGTCAGGAACACGAGCTCGTACCTGGTCAATAATGTTGGTATCAGCCGAGAACCTGTTGAGGATCTGCCCCAGGGGGGTGACGTCAAAAAACCTGACGAAAGAGAGAGAACTCAACCCTCGCCCCGTGACAGTGAAGAAGCAGTCTGCTAACAAAGGAGGGCGGCGACTACCTGAGAGGAGCATGTATGATCTTGTTGAGCAGGTTGTGGTGTAGGTTGGTGGCTGCAGACAACCCCAAGAACTCCACGGTGAGCGAGGTGATGAGGCACAGCGTGATCCCAGCCGCGCACAGGACCATGAACACCGTCAGGTAAAAGGAGTCCTGCAAACCAGCGCACTCCAGAATCTTTGACAACCGCCACGTCACACCTAACCTCCGGGCGGCAGTGTGACGTCGAGGTGAAATGTCCGATCGATCGAGCTCCGAGATATGGTCCGGGCTATCGAAACAAGTCGGCGATACCGGACCTTCGAGTCAACGGCGCTTCTGTTGACCTCGATGACCTCGCACGTTCCGTTGGGTCTTGGCACCATGGTGTGGTTGGCGTGGTTGGAGGTCCAGATGGCCAACCAGTAGTCGATGGCCATGATGACCGAGTGCTTGAGGAGCTTGCAGGACATCATGAGGAAGACCATGAAGAAGCCACCGGAGGACAGGTAGCACCAGCACACCTGAGAAGAAGTCGCGGTTCTGGTCGGGATGGGTGGAGACCGACGAAACGGTCGCTACCTCGGGATTGAGATCCTCTCACTTTCCACGGGACTTTGGATCTTCTGCTTGTGGTGGTGGACAAGTTGTCTTCATCCTCCTCTTCCTCCTCCTCCTCTGAAGGGACGGCGACTTTGATTGAGGATACAAAGCCATCGTTGACAAAGAGCGCACCCCACCTACCTTCGTCCTCATCATCCACTTGATTCTTGACATCTCTGGAATAGAAAGCTCGTCGGAGGGTCTTCCTCTCCAGCGTGGTTTGGCTGTCCTGCTCGATGTCCTGCATGGAGAGTTCCTATCAGAGAGCCGAGAGAAGAAAGAAGGAAGGAAGGAAAGACGCCCGACGCTAACCTTCTCCAGCTCCTGGTCCTGCCGGTTCATGAGTGTCTTCCAGTGGTCGTAGAGCTCCACGTCGTGCATCTGGATGTCCTTCAGAGTTCCTTCTCTCAGCACGGAGCCGTCCTTCATTGCGATGATCTGAAGCAAAGGTTTGCGCTCAAGTGCTCCATTTGATTTTTGAAATGATCACATGGGATGGCCCACGTGACATTGTAACATGAAAAACCAAGCGACTGATCTGCTCGGGCGGACTTCCGACTTCTCACTGACCCAGTCGGCGTGGATGAGGTACTGCAGCTTGTGCGTCACGAGAACCACGGTCCTCTTGTCGTCCTGCAGGAACTTGAGGATGCCTTCCTGCATCAGGTGGTCGCTCAGGTGGATGTCGAGGGCGGAGAAGGGGTCGTCCTACGGTTACCAGGACAAGTACATCACCTGAGCTGCGCTCGGGATCGAAAAACATCTGGGGACGAGCGAATCCGCGGCGCCGTCAGAAGGAGTCATTTTTTCCACAACTCCCCCCCCCCCCCACACGCATCCCTTTGTCACCGCGCGGTCGTCGTCACCGCTGAACCTCGCTGCCTTTTCTCCGGCCAAAACGACACGCCAAACAACATTTCCTTAAGCGGATCGGAATCTGCGCCACTGGAGCTGACATCGCCACGGTGACGGGAAAATGATGCGAGCTCGCAAACACGTCGTCTCTCCCGGAAAAGGGCGTCGCTTCCTTCGGACGCATCGAATTCGTCTAATGCGATTACGTTCATTGATTTCGTTACTTAGCAGCACTTGTGTCCGTTTGTGCTGACCAGGAAGACGATGTTGGTGTTCTGGTAGAGCGCTCGAGCCACGCAGATCCTCTGACGCTGCCCGCCACTCAGATTGATGCCCTGGCCAGAAAGCGTACGGTCAGCGAAACGCCAACACGGCGATGCATTCCCAAACCAGGACCGGGGCCGTCCCCGGGGCTTACTCGTTCTCCGATCTCCGTTTGGTCTCCGAAGGGTAGCAGGTCGATGTCCAGTTGGAGAGAGCAGGCGTCGATCACCGCCTTGTACCTGAAGCAAAGACGCGCGGCATGAAATAGAAATGTAGCCCTTTGGTTGGAAAATAATCACGTCATTAATTATGACGACGTGCTGCAATTTGGGCACTCGGGACTCGCTCGGCTAAAAACTCTGAGCGCATTCGACGGCTGAGGCGCACCTCTGCTTGTTGAAGGGGCTCCCGAAGGTAATGTTGTCCTCCACGGTGGCATTCAGCAGCCACGATTTCTGAGTCGCGTAGGCCACCGAGTACCTGTTCTTGCTGCGGTTGCGTGATGGGAAACATTGAAGAGAGGAAGCGTGTCTTTTCGGGATCCACACAGCTCGACACATGCGCGGCGATGACATGTTAGACGGCAGGTTGGCGGCGTGAGAAGCGACACCACAAACCCTGGCGCCAAATGGCAGGACAATGAACCCCCCCCCCCACACCCCCCAAAATTCAACAGCGCCACTGCAAGATTTGTCTTCGTTTTCAGGTCAAGTCATTTTCTGCCATCAAGAAGTCACCTGGAGCGGAGCAAATTATTTTACAAATACTATCAAAAAGACCCTTGAACATCCAGGCAATATTCCCCCGAGGAATAAAAGGGACCAGATCCTTCTACAGAATGAAGGGTTCTTCACGGAGACTTCATGAAAATCGGTTCATGACTTTTGAGGATATAATCATGCTGGAAACAAAAGGAGGCGCGGATGACTTCACAAATGGAGGAGAAAAAGTCTCAAAAGAATGGTGATGACGTCGATGGAAACGCTTGACGGGCAAAAACGCCAGAGCGGAGGTGGCGGTGGGGGTGGTGGGCGCTGATGATGTCACAGAAAGTCTTCCCTCTACCTTGCGGGGTGGTCACCGGCCTCGTCGTCCGCCGCCTCCGGGTGGCTGTCAAGGGCGGCACTTGAGCGTGAGCTGACGACATGCGCGAACGAACGTGCTACAATGCAGTGTCTCTCGTGTGAGAGGCGGGGTCAAGCCTCGACTGCCCGCTTGCCAATCGCAGGACAAACAAGCATTCACGCTCGCCGACGGACATTTTCGACTCTTCAATGAACACAAAAAGCAATTTGGGGGAAGACAAAACCGAGGAGAAGAATTTGAGGAAACGTGATGCGTTGCCGTGGTGAAGGTTCAAACTGATTATGGCCTTAAAAACTCAAGAGTTGCTGCTAATTAAGTTGCTATCAATCCAGTTTGGAGTCCACGCGGAGGTCATAGCGATCGCTTTCGGAGCTGCGCGGATGAAGTGAAATGATGATGATGATGGATGTTCTCGAGGGAGGAATGTACCTGAACGTCTCCTGGCGAAACGTCTCGCTATCAGGTGGCCTGACGCGGCAAGAAGGCAAGCAAGTCAGAAGAAGAATGCGTCAGATTGACATGGCGCATTTCTGGCAAAGCCGACACTCGGGGCGTACGCAGTGGATACATGATTCACGCGCTCACGCAATTGTACTCTGGTGGCGGGAAACTGCGTTCTGCAGTCACAGCTGCCTTGCGGCGGGCTGAGGGAAGCGCGGCTGCCGGTGTGCGCCCGCGGCCCCTCCCACCACCGCCAAACATTCACACCCAGACGGACACCGGCGTGCACTGGGGGCAAGGTGGGTGGAGAGTCTTGCCCAAGGGCACGACGGCGCGTGACTCGGGACAAAGCGCGAATCCAACAGCGGACCCTCCGCTTCCCGGACGACCCGATCCGACCGCCGAGTCACGGCCCCCCCAACATCGGTTGGTGTTAATGCGCAGGAATGTTCCCTCTGCAGCTCCAAACAAGCGAGCGTGCGCACGGGCTGGCACGCTCGCCGACTTACTTGCTCCAGTGGACGCGGCCGCTGATGCTCTGCATCTCGCCCAGCATGGCGAGCAGCAGCGACGACTTCCCGCAGCCCACCTGGCCCACAATCATGGTCAGCTGGCCTGAAAGCGCAAGTTCAGAGGTTACGGGCTACTGGCGCATGTTAGCAGGATGACGTTGACGTTATCGGCTCACGTTGGAAGCACACGATAAGAAGTCAAGTTGTCGTCATGATATTTCCCAATAAAAGATTGTCATTATTGCTGTGGATATCCCATTTATGCTTCATGGCTGCCCTGTGAGACTTTCTTCCCATCATATATGTCCCTTAGGTGGAAAAAGAGGAGCAAACACCGACTCCCTCCTCGGTTTCATGATGCTCACCTGTCGGGATGCGGATGTTGATGTCGGCCAGCGTGGACAGGTTGCTTCCCCAGGTGAAGCAACCGCTGCTCACCTGAACATAAAAGACATCAATCATCCGTTTCATGAGCATTTCTTTGCCCTTCGTTTTTCCTGTTTGGAATGAAAAGAATATTTTCACGTTTGCTGAAGCTTGCTTCCACCTGGCCTGCAAGCCGCCACGGCCAACCCTCCCGAAAAGAGACTCAATTCCCGCCCGCCCGCCCGGCGGACGATCTGGCACGTCGCTTCCCGGCGGTCGCATTCCTCTCCTCTGTTTGGTTTATTTGTTCCCGTTAAGTTTATTTTATCTGAGCGACCCCCCGCTGGCTTCCCCCCAGCGTCCTTCTCCGCACGCCACCGACCCAGGGGCGCATCTCCACTGGAACGTCTCGGGTCGTGAGAGCCTTCCGGAACTAAAGAGCCACGGTATTTTGACACAGCTGGCATTCAACGGCGGACAATTGTGTGAAACTTGGCCCAAATACTTTGGAGCATCCATTGCGGACACGAGCGGGGAGCCCGAGTGAACTCTTTCTGGCAAAGGTGGGGGACTCCCGTGGCGTGACTTAGGCTTTCAATTTCGGACCTCTCGCTTGCTCGAGCCGACAAAAGATTCGACTTTTCCTCTCCCAACTTAAAGCGCAAACGATCGCTCCCCATTAAAACGGATGTTTGTTCCGAAAGCTTTACGCTTCGTAATATCGAATGGCGTTATCCATTGTGTGTAAGCGCGAGGCGAACACATTTCACAGAGCGTGAGACGGGACGAATGAGAGACCAGATCAACAACACAGGAACCACGGCATAAACTTCACGGCATAAACTAAGTCGTGGCCCACCAAACGTCAAGAACAGGAAGTGACAGCGGCATGGTGAAGAAATGGTGCATTTTCCCAGCGTAGCTGACCTCGACCCGTGCTAATGCCTTCGGGACCGAGCTGGAAAAGCGAGAGCTTCCAAACCGGGAGGCAGACTCCATCGCGTCTGTCAAGCGACCCTCCACCCC